AAGCAGTGGTATCAACGCAGAGTACTTGTGCGAATTAGAAGGAGCTATACGTGAGAGAATACCAGCATAGGATACGTTGATATACAAAAGAAGTAACTTCTTGAGAATTGCTAAAGTCACAGCTACGCAGCAAATAGGTATCCATGCTTTATACGGAGAAAACCCTATCAGGGCAAATAGAAGAGAAGAGCTGCTACCAGATTGGGAATCAGGAGAAACTTGAGAAGAGTAACCATTGTTACCTAATGCACCAATGATTTTGTGAAAATTCTGAGCTGTCCAAAGTTCTTGTAACTGATGCTCTTGCACGAGCTCGCTAAAGTTCGTAAGCACTAGATTATGAAAGATTGTAAGAGATGGAATGAAATTAACATCATGAGGAACAGAAGCCAATGAGATATTGTGAATGTGTAGATTAGATATTTTAGAAAATGAATGGGAAAGTGCGTCATACTGGAGAACTCCATCAGGAAGAGAGAAGTAAAAGGGGCGGAGTTTGGCGCAAGGTAACGGATCGGCGTTTGAAGTAAGTACCCAATTATGAGAATCAATGAAGGTGGCCCAAGAAGACCCACTAGGTTTACTATCCCCACTTGTTTCTGCGTGGAACGTGCTAGTCGCTTAGGTTTAGCAATTGCGTAACCCTGATCAGTAACTGTCAGGGAATTACCGCAGTCTAAAGTGGGACTGTCACTACGCCATGATAAAGCAAACTCTTTCGAATCGCTAATCCAGATGTTTCTTCCTAGCAAGTGGCCGCGCATTTTGGAGATGGGAATATATGAGCAAAGTTCTTCCTGAGCTGGGGTCCAAAGTAGCACCGACCCGTCTTTAAGCTTGCAAAAACCATCCTTGTACGAGCAATGCCGGAGATCACCGACCGCGGTGTCGGGAAACTGGGACCCCTGACGCGCATGCACCATTGTAGGGGTTAGATAGCAATTCGTTACTGTTAGGTGATGGTCCGAGCAACAGCCAAAAGGTGCAATAAAATATCTAATCTACACATTCACAATATCTCATTGGCTTCTGTTCCTCATGATGTTAATTTCATTCCATCTCTTACAATCTTTCATAATCTAGTGCTTACGAACTTTAGCGAGCTCGTGCAAGAGCATCAGTTACAAGAACTTTGGACAGCTCAGAATTTTCACAAAATCATTGGTGCATTAGGTAACAATGGTTACTCTTCTCAAGTTTCTCCTGATTCCCAATCTGGTAGCAGCTCTTCTCTTCTATTTGCCCTGATAGGGTTTTCTCCGTATAAAGCATGGATACCTATTTGCTGCGTAGCTGTGACTTTAGCAATTCTCAAGAAGTTACTTCTTTTGTATATCAACGTATCCTATGCTGGTATTCTCTCATGTATAGCTCCTTCTAATTCGCACACTCCGTTGCGCCCGCTTCCTTTCATTTGTTCATCCTCTAGCAACCCTATTTCTATACCTCCTTTAGCAAGTACCTTAGAGGAACAGTCGATCGAGCTTACTCGTCTTGCGCTAGACTCCTCGCACGCATGGCCACCTAAGCTAACAATTGCTCCGGTTCACGTCTTATCTTATATGATAATACCCACTTCTTTGTCGCGCAAATTCCTATCAAAGCGAATGGTATAGCACTATTAGGCCTTATTGACACTGGGGCCGCTATCTCCGTCGCAAGCCGCGAATTAGCAACCTTGGTAGGCATCTTCCACTTCGAGCGCATCCCAGTAGACACCGCCATCGGAATGGCGGGCATACCCATAGGTCTTCTAGGATGCGCGCGTCTTAATCTCCAGATAGGATCATACCACATCTCTGCTGTCGTACATTTTACTGATGAATCTTCAATCCCCCATCATGCAGCCTCTTTTAATCTCATTCTGGTAACAATGTATTGTCTCAACTCCCACCTTGGTCCATCAATTACACAAATCATACTTTTATTGTTAATGGCGAGCAAATCCGAATCTTTGGCACTGCGTCACAACGGCTGCAAGCGGAAGTAGAAGGAGATGTTATCGTTCGTGTTTCAGAAACAACACCTTTACAACCTGGAACCGAAACGTATGTGCCGTGCTATACTTCTTCGAGCCCCACGGTGCCGGTCATGCTGGTGACGCAATCCGAGGACCTGCTCCAGCGCTCTCACTACTGGTCTCTCCTACGGTATTCTCCGCAGGTAAGACTCATATATTAGTTTCAAATCCTACTAGTAGCCCCCAAGTGTTATATGAGGATCAGAGAATTTCTACTGCGGTTCCCTTAGTAAAGGAGAACGGGGTACTTTCGGACCCTCGGTGTTGTTAGCATGAGTTTGTTTGCCTTACAACCTCTTGCTGCGGCTGATCGCTGTCCCCCTCCAGAACCCAAAGCTGATTTTGTTGTTGAAGCAAACCCGAAGTTTCTGACAAAGAGAAAGAGCAGTTACAAGCTCTCTTTTACGAGTTTCGCGATGGGATATCCCAAAGTTCCTATGATCTAGGTTCATATGATTGTGAGGCAATCCACATTAAGACCACTATCGAAATTCCTCCTACTAGGTTCCGACCTACCCGTATCCCGGTTAAGTTCCAGAAGGAATTTGACGACCACATTAATAAATTGTTGAAAGCCGGTAGGATTAGGGAGAGTGATACCCCATGGGTTCATAACACGGTTTTAGTCAAGAAGCGCGATGGTACCCTTAGCGTTTGTCTCGATTTTCGCCCACTAAACGAATTACCATCCCCGACCATTATCCTTTATCCCGTATTGACGATATCCTGGAAAAGATTGCGGGTAACAGATACTATACATCCCTCGACCTAGCATCTGGGTACATGCAACTTCTACTTTCACCAGAGAGTAAAGTCAAATGCGGTTGGGCAATGCACCGCGGAGTTTACCAGTTCGTTCATCTCCCCTTTGGACTCAAAAACGCCGGCGCGTATTTCTCTCGTGCCATGTTCCGTATCCTAGCCGGTCTGGAAGAGAACTGTCTGGCATACCTGGATGGCATTCTCATCTTTGACAAAGACTTCCCAAGCCATCTAAATTCTTTGCGTAAAGTATTCCGCCGCTTTCGCGATTTCGATATCAAAGTGTCAGGCAAGAAACTAGTCGACATCGCGCGTTCCAAAATCACCTTTTTGGGGCGTGAAATTTCAGGAGATAGTTATTACCCTTGCGATAGGAACATCCAAGCGGTCAAGCGCCTTCCGACCCCTTCTACAGTAAAAGAAGTCAAACGTTTTTTGGGAATGGTTAATTTCTTTCGAAAGTTTATACAAAATTTCGCCGCCATAGCAGCACCCCTGTACGAACTAACCAAGGATAAAGCAAAATTCAAATGGGGTCCGCGCCAGCAACAAGCCTTTGACGAACTACGGAATAAACTCATAACCAAGCCATGTTTGGCGTTCCCTCAAGAACGTGATTTTATCCTTCACACGAATGGCAGCCAAGTTGCTATAGGCGCCGCGTTATTCCAGCAAGCAGCCAGCGATGAGAAGTCCCTGTTCATAGGCTATTACAGTAAAGCTCTATCCCAGTCCCAACAAAAGTGGAGTCTCACTCATATAGAACTTTTTGCAATGGTAAGCGCTCTTCGTTTCTTCAAGGCCACTATTTACGGGCATCTGACCCGTATTTTCTCTGATCACAACCGCCAATCACCGCCCATTGACGTATCTTCACAGACATAATAAGACCCATGATAATTTAGCGCGATGGGTAATCGAGTTGCAAAGTTATAACATAAACCATAGAATATTTGAAGGGATCATCAAATGTTGTGGCCGATTGCCTTTCACGATCAGTCAACTCTCAGACTCAGTTTCAGGATAACCTCCAGAGTCCGAAGACATAGTAGAGTTTCCTATGTGTCTAGCGGTACAAGGATATTGTTTGCGCTCTCTCCCACCAACTAATTCCTCCCTCGTTACTCCAATTGCGATTAAGCATTACGATGCCTTACTAGAACAAAAGCGCAATCCAGTCTGTAGCCCTATCATGTCTTTCCTGGAAACAGGGCAATTTTTCCTGAAAATGTCTCGGAAACAGATAAGGCTCAGTGGCTTCGATTAGCTGAAGATTGCCACCAACGCGCAAATGGTTGTTTGTACCATCTTACCAAGTCCCTGATGGGGTTACTCCGTTTTTGTTCCTGAGCGTCGCCGGAAACTCGGCACGAGCACCTAGTCGCTCCTACTTTAACGAAGCTGAGGCCGAAGTCTGTAGAACCATCGTCACTCGCCTTCTCCAACGTCATGTGTCTTCCGCTGCCATCAGTATTTTGACGATCTATAAGGAATAGATGCGCCGGTTGGCGGACTTTGCACGAGAGAACCAAGTCGAGCTCGCCACTGTTGATTCCATCAAGGCCGAGAGAAGGACATCGTTATTCTCCTCACCACCCAAACTGATTTTGAGCCTACTTCTGGCGAGTTCCTAGATGACCAAAAACGCATGAATGTTGCGCTCACCCGTTCCCGCCAAGGTTTGTTCGTGCTGGGCCATACTGATTCACTTCGTCGCATCAACTTCTGGAATCGAGTGTTGGCCTGGGCCGAGGAACGCCACGCCGTAGTACCTGCCGCTCAACTGGACCAGTATCTACCTCCTGCACAACGGTGGGATTTTCATAACCAGTTCTCTTTATACATACTTTCATTATATATATATATTTAGTTGTTTTCTTTATATTCATAGACATTATCTCTTTATATTTTATGATATACTACATACCTTTATTTATACACTTCTTTATATACATCCTTATATACTTCTTTTCATATACTTTGCTTTGCATACTTTTTCTTAATTAGAAGTCCAAGGACGGACTTGTTGGTAAATAAGGGAGGTGTAAGGGAAATGCTTTTGCATCTCCGTTTGCATCTTCGATGGAATGCCAGAAGACGTGATTGTTTAGGGCGTGACCGACGATACGAAGGCTCGAGGAGTTGCTCCTTCGCCCCGACACCGACCGGCCGTTCTACCGTACCCCTCCACGACTCTGGCTGATGCTGGACCGATCCAGTGCTTTATCCAATCTCCATGCTCAACCACTCCACCGATGATCTCCTATTGTCGACTATTCATATACTGTCCTCTGTCTACATTGATGCCTTAACGATAAACTACTTAGTACTGATCGGTGATCTGTTCTTGCCAGCCAGAAGCTCGCCTCCACTGTCGCTACGCTTACTCTTCTCGTCCCAACCTTGGTCGATTACGGTAAAGCCTTTGATAACGTCGAAAACAACGCCATCTTGTCAGAGCTGGTCGATCACGGATGACACAGTTTACATGACGAAAATGGCCTCTTGCTACAAGCATTGTACGGATGATGTAGCTAATTCCCCGACCCTGCCCGTCCCAGTCGGCAAATGGGTTCGGGAAAGCGACACAACTTCGCCTAAGCTGTTCACGCGGCCTTGCAGTGGGTGTTGAAGTCACTGGACTAAGACGAGAGAGACAACGGATTGATAGAAGATTCCTCTCCAACCTTCGTTTTGCGGACGACATCGCATGCCTTTCGAGCAGTACCACTGAAGCGGAGACGATACTGAAGAAACTAAACGAAGTAGGGAAAACGATTGGATTGCGGTGTAGACTAAAGAAGACTCAGTCTACTGAGCTCTTTGCGAAGATGCAGAGAATCGGAAAGCATCCTCATCAAGGAGATTTCTTACCTGTACCTTAAACGTTCGATGAACCTGGAGAACAATTTGAGGGAGGAACTCAACGGGAAAAAAAGTCTGGTACGCCTTTGGACAAGTGAAAAAAGCCATCGACTAGCTGACGGACTTCGGAGCTGTAAACCCACCTGTTTGACTCATTCTGCAAGGCTCTGTTACGCAGCTGAGACATGACCAGGTACTAAAGCCACTTACTGCACGGACAACTCGCAAAGCGCTGGAGCATGTCCCGAACAAGCGACAGCTAGTCATATTTTGTGCAGTATGGATAAAGAATGTCCCTTTTGTGACCGAATGGGAGACGATGAGAAAGCGAAGCAGTACCCCTCATCAGAAGAACACAGGCGACATATGCACGTTAAGAACATCAGATGGGTTCTTCGCATACCTTATAGCCTTTAGATGGCGTAGTCTCAAGCAAAAGGGTTCAGTGACTTAGGGCCGCATGCACTAACATCCCCGCGGGGAGGAGATCGCAGCTTACGATTAGAAGAAAGCTTTATATTTCGAAACTCCACCTGGATTTCACGTTGTGTACCTATCCGTAAGTATTCCTACTACCCTTCACTATGGACATGTTGAAGAGGAGCGAGAAGTTGTACGAACCGCATTTTCCAGCTTTAGTATGATCCCTGATGATCCCCGGCGCTTTTCTTTAGAGTCATTTTTCTTTCTCCGAAGTTAACGAAAAACCTCCAAAGTTGTGCAGATTATCTAAACCGACAGTGCTAAGCATGTTGCTGATAAGAACGAATGATGTTTTGAAGTCATGAAATTTTCGATGATCCACAGGTCGAAAATTGAGGTTTACCGAAAAATTCGACTTTTCAAAAACTCATTTGTTCTCATCAGCAACATGCTTAGCACTGTTGTGTTAGATGTTCAGTACAACTTTGGAAGGTTTTCGTTAACTTCGGAGAAAGAAAAATGACTTCAAAGAAAAGCGCCGGGGATCATCAAGGATCATACTAAAGCTGGAAAATGCGGTTCGTACAGCTTCTCGCTCCTGTTCAACATGTTCATAGTGAAGGGTAGTAGGAATACTTACGGATATGTACACAATTTGAAGTCTATCTGGAGTTTCGAAATATAAAGTTTCTTTTAAGCTGCGATCCCCTCCCCAGCAGGGAGGTTAGTGCATGCGGCCCTTAGTCTTCTGGTCCCCATTTTTCAGTGCTCGGTCGGACTTTGACACCAAGTTTTTTATACTGTTCATTAAAGGGAAGCCTAAAGTTTTCAATACGGCTTCTGATTTTTATCGATGCCAAGACGTGTTTGATTTGCACATCAAAAAGTAAAATCTTCCCAACCACAAAAATTCCACAATTTTTCTTCCTACAGCCATTTTTTTGTGCAATTCACAGACTTTCGTCCAAATCATGGGTGATCTGATTGAGAAGCCTATTAACTTCTGATCCGCAACTGCACTCGAGTCTTGCGATTTGCGCTCAGAAATTACAACCTGTCAAACTTGCTTCTGACTACAACTCTTTTCGCAGCTGGCGTCGCTTCTGCGGGAATCGCCACGCCTGGATGATGGGTCCAAAAGATGTGTAAGGCATTACCCCAACAATGTTCGCAGTAATCAAAGATTTGGTCCACCCTATGCAGAACGACAGGACTTCAAAGTCACTTACTCAAAAAATGGTGCATTTTTAGGGGCAAAAAGTGGTCTATTTTTCGAACTTTCTGAAAAAAATTTTTGCAGGTGGTCCTGCAAAAACATGAATGGTCCCCTTAACAGCTCCAGCAGACCTTTATATGACTACAGCATTTGGGCTTTCCAGATCTCATCCTGCCTGAGATAATCCTGCACAATAGGCTACTTGCGAGGACCTTTTTTCCCTTCTGCGCATGCTGGTGGACCGCATTGAGGTGCTGAAAAGCCAGCAAGACAAATATATGTTGTGGACAAAATTCTCTTTGCAATGAAATTTGTAGCTCTGAAAAAGGATCAATCTGCTTGAAGTTACAGCGATTTGAAAAAAATTTTCGCAAGTGCCCGGAAACTTTCTTTACAACCTAATAATAGAGTATTTTTCGTAGCTTTCACCCCATTGTATGCCGTACACCTAGTGCTTCGATCTCTTGCCATGTGAGATGATGTGCGCTACATAATGCGAAATCCCACAAAATATAGCCTCTTCGGTGCCTTGAAATCATCTCCACGAAACAAGACCTCGGCAGGAATTTTCCCATTTTCCAAAAAGAGGAACGGACCTGCCAACTCCAACGAATCTAGTTCGATACCTTTCGTTGATCTTTGAACTTATTCTTTTTGATGCATTTTTGTGTGTAAATTAGATAAGTAAATGGATCTGTGAGTGACTTGTGGTAGAGTGGAACAGTCCTATGAAATATCTGAGTTTGCATTTGTACAAGAATAAATATTATTATTTATTATTTTCCAAGCTAAGATAAATATTACTACAAACAGTGGATTACATCTATCTACAACAATACTTTTAGGAACGCAGATATCATTGTGACTTCTCCATGGCTGAAGCTTCGCGGAGTGCTCTTTCTCGTTCTTCTGCAAATATACTTTTGTGGAGGAAATTTAAGCGCATCAAAAACGATACTTACTCCTCTTCTCGGCCTTTTTCCGCCTTTTCCTTTCCATCATAAGAAGTTCAGCTCTGGAGTTATGATAAATCTCTCGGAGATCATTCAATCGCTTTTCAAGCATTTCTATAGCGTCTTCGTTCAGTTGTGAGAGATCGCCTAAGATAGTTTCAGTAAGTTGCAATCCACAAAATTCCGAAGTACAAACTTACCAAGGGGTGGGAGACCTAGGAGATCAAAGTTATCCAAGGAATGTTCTTGCTCCATAATTCGTAAAGTCTTGTTCTTCATCGAAATAAAAGTATCACGCGCAACTGAAGGTTCTGTAAAAAAAAAACCAAGGAAAATTACTAGCAAGACCAGAAAGAGGACGATTCCAACACTGTACCTTCTTCTTCCTCTTCCTCGCCATATGAATCATCATTTCGGTCTTCTTTACTTGACGTCTTTTGACGCATGTACTTTCTATCAACAACCATGACGCTGTGTCGATTATATGGAGCTCTGGAGATAGTGTAGATAAGCCCAAATTGAGCTCAAGAATTTTCCTACCGTTTCCGCTTGTTTCCGCGTCCTCTTCCTGGTGACATGATGCGACCGCCAGCCGATTGGTTGTCTGACGTTGACCATTTGTCATTGTCTAAATTGGTAATTTCTGAGAGAAGAAGTCAAAAAGCAAGAAATCTACCTTCCCCATCAGTCCTCATCGGAGTAACTGAACCAGATGGTTCTGCATCTGATTCTTCCTGATGGACAACCTGTTGTGACACCACAACGACTTCTGCAAAACAACACCTATGAAGAAAGAAAGAAAATCACCTTGAAAATAAACTGACCACTCTCCACTTTCATTTCCGTTTGCTCTTTCTTGACTTCAACATGCCGACAAGAGTGAGTCACTTTGTCTACAGTCTTTCTCAGATGCTCGTCAGATGCTGCCAACGTCTCGCTCCCCCTTCTGCCGGCCAGTTTCCCATAAAGAGGGCTTTTAGCGACTAGGTCGAAGTCGCAGAAAGCGCTAACAACAACTCCTACATCGGCAGCATCATCCATAGGTGTCTTCTCCTTCGCTGATGATGCTGTAAAGGTTGCTATTTAACGACCAACAGTTAACTGCTGGAAAGCAACACCAAAACCTCGTGATGGTCTCTTTCTTTCTTTTGGTGGAGGTTCATGGCATGTTAACGCTACACTATCTCTGACGGAAATCTTCAATATCAACAGCGCTGAGTCTAAATTATCAGAGGATCTGCATGTAAAACCCAACTCTTAAACTGTGCAAATCTTTCTTGAATCAGAACATAACTGCTATGAAATAAGAGCGCCAGAGCTAAGGTGAAGAAACTCACACTGCTTGGAATCATGCGCAGAGAATTCGAATTTCCCAGAAACTTCTTCAGGAATTGACGGCTAAACGAACACTCATAGTTGGAAACAAAATAAGCAACTGTTAAAGGGCGTCCACCCAAAATCTGAGGGTGTTCGAAAAATTGCTGACGTGCAACAGCGAGAGAATTAACTAACAAGGGAATGGTCAGAAGTCGAAGTGACCAATCCATACAAGCTGCATACCATTAGATGCAGCATAAAACGCTGACTATAAATCTGCTTCCCTTATCTGCAGAGCGCTTTTGTGGATGAAATTATAAGCCGTTAAAGGCCATAATTTTGCTGGGAAATCATGCGTGTAAAGGTCAAACTTGGCCGTGCAGAGCCACTCTCGGCTCAGTGTTGGACCAAAACATGCAACTAGGTCTCTTCATATGGCTCGTACTCAAAGGTGAACTAAAACGGCAACAGTGTGCCTAGTCTCGCAATTTTTGTGTACGATTTTTTCGCAGTAAAGCTGCTCATAACTTCGCCTACAAAGATGCTCTGCAGATACGGAAGAAAGATTTGAAATCAGCGTTCGATGCTGCATCGAATGGTATACAGCTTGTTTGGATTGGCCACTTCGACTTCTGACCATTCCCTTGTAAGTGACTACCTAAATCGCACTGCGAAAGTTTTTGAAGCGGAGTAACCGTTCAAGAAGGACGATGCTGCTGGGGTCGCCACGCCCCTCGACATGCATTGCCTAGAAGTAATGAGCCCGAAACACTCAGTGATACCAAACAAAAAAAACACATTTTCAACGTTTTTAGGTAATCTGGAGTGCAGTTTCGTTAAAACACCCATGTTAGTAGGCGTGGCGACCCCAGCAGCATACACCTTTCGAAAAGGTTTTCCCGCTTGGAGATACACCTTTTGCAGCGCAACTCGGGCAATTAACTTAGGGACCTCGCTGCAATACTGCAGCGTAATTTCACCAACAACTTGGGTGTACGGTGTCATCAAGTGACATGACAAAAATAATCAAAAGTTATTTTTGATCCCCAAAATTGGCGTGCTTACCTTCGGAGAAACAATCTTCTGTGGCGGTGTCACTATGACTTTTTCATGTGGATGCTGAGCAGCTATATAAATAGTCGTAGGTAAACCAGGTGATGAGCTGGGCACAGCTGCAGCGATCACTCCTTCTTTGACGCCAGGTGTGACAGATACCGTCGTTCGAGCGCGTTTCACTTGTATAACCGATGGAGGCGAACCAACACGCGGTGTACCATGGTGCGTCGCATCATGTCCTCGGGGAGGAGATCGTAAAGGTGGAGATATACCGATATTCGATGGTGAGATCATTGAATGCTGAAATTGGGGCACCTTTGTTTGAAAAAAACCGTGCTAAAATTCCCACCTCAATTCTCGACGGTCCTGCCAACGGTGTTTTAGCTCGCTGTGTTGACACTTTCAACGGCATGCCGGCCGACTTGGAGGACTGAAAAGGAAACAGTGAGATGATATGGTGAATGAAATGAGGTGATACCTCTCTCTTCAGTCCTTCCGCAGCAGCTGCTGTCAGTTGCTCGTATTGGGAGATGGAGACACGTCTAGGGCGATATCCACCCTAGAAAGTCCATATGAATCATCTGATCATCCTCATCCTTTTTCGGCTTCCATGTTTTCATCAAATTATACAATTTTTAAGACCTTTACAGCGTATTGAGACATTATCAAAAATTCATGCAATTTCAATAATAAGAAACTGAGCTTTTGTGAAAAGTAACTTTCCGCTCAGCTAATGCCCTTCATTCCTCTTAATGTTCCAGTGCTCAAAAAACAACTCACCATGCTAAATAGATGAGTTGGCACTTCATCGTCGTCTCTTGTCAGGCTTTCAACGCCATCGGTAGAATTCGACCAACGTAAAAGGAAGTCCAACCGTGATCTCGGTATGCGATCACCCATTTCACGTGTGATTGCATCCATCGACGTTTGGTCATCCTAGAGTCAAATTACAAACATATAAAGAGCAAAGCAGGAATGAGGAAAGGGAGAAGAGAAGAAAAAAATGGTAACCTTTTCACTAAGGCGAATCTTATTGAGCGTTATCGATTCGTCATAGCGAGAGTTCCAACCGAGGTAGTGAACAAAACACCTTGTGGTTGAAAGTACGACACGAAGTCGAGCAATTGCTTGTGAGGAAAGACCAATGCCCTGAAAATTTGTGAAAATCGATAACCTTAGATAGCGTAAATAAATAACACCAAAGTGGTATTTGAAAATACGCACCTCCTCATCGGCCATTTCCATAATTTCAGCCATTTCTTTGACAGATGGTTGGTCTACAGTGACTACGCGTGCATCATACCAACGTCCATGATGATGAGCACGCACTTTTTGGCCAAGATAAAAACGCGAAACGCTGAAATAAGCCATCATGAAATGTATTTCTACAGAAAATAACTTACATATTAGCCGGGCGATAGCCCTCATCAGGATCTCTTGACTTTGCTGGATCAGAAGCATCTTTCTTATCTGCTTTTGCCAATTTTTTTCTTTCCTTTCGTTTCTTACCTGAAAACACACCTGATTATCTACCTATATCTTTCAAGGAGGAAACTTACCATCTCCATCTTCATCGCTAATATCATGATCTCTCTTTTCGGTATGAACCCCATCTTTGTCGACAGCTGCAGCATTTTTTTCTCGTTCACTGTCACGTCGTTCTGATCTTTCTGCTCTTGCATCCGCTTCCTGTTCAGCTTTCGATGGTGATGATTTGTGTTTGTGCTCGACTTCGGTTTTCTCTTCTTCTTTGATCTTCTCGATAAGTTTCTCGCCACGCTTTTCCTCCATTTCCTTCACTTCTTCTTCTTTTTTGATCTTGGACTTTGTCTCCTTGTCTTTTGCCTTCTCTTCCTTCTCCCTTTCCTTAGCTTTCTCCTTCTTTTCTTTCTTGAAGAAATGTTGCTGTGATACCTACAAAATAATTCAACAGACACAAAAATACTTACCTTTTCCTTCACATCCTCATCCTTTTGCTTACGCTCAGCTTTCTTCTCGTCTTCTTCTTTTTCCAGCTTCTTTGGCTTCTCCGAGCTTGTGGAAGTAGATGGAGAGCAGCTAAAGCAGATTTTATTATTAGAAACAAAGATACCTAGGAAACCTAGGAGACCCACGTTGATCTTTCTCGTTGACTGCTCCCATCAGGATCACGAGAAGTCTCCTTTGACTCTCTTCCATCGGCTTTTCCTCTTTTTGTCGTCTTCTCCTTAGCTTCGGCTGCACTTGACTTTCGCCGTTTTACTGGCTATAAGAGTTATGTTTATTGTGCTGAGGATGATGTAGGAACAAAGCATTTCTTACTTTCTGCTGATTCATTAGTTCGGCGTTTCGAATAAGCCGACGTTCTCTAGGACTATTGATCGTCGATGTGATGGACAACTCATCCAAAGACCAGCCCAGCCTTTTGTAGAAGGAATTGAAGTGGGCTAAGTATCTGCAAAAACAACTTAGCCAGTCACGGGAAGCTGCTACTAAAATTAATCAAAACTAATGGATGCTAGAATGGAAGAAGAATATACAAGTAGCTCGCATATATTTTGTGCAATGGAGTTCTGGCAGTAAGAGAGTGCAAAGAAGGAAAAGATTACCTTATGTAAGCCTTCCTCACAGTAACAGGAGTAGCTCCAGGACAACCAGACAGATGAAGTTTGATGAGCACCTAGAACGAAAAACTTGTAAAAATAAACTAATTGCGATAAAATTAGAACCCATAGGTTTCTACAAACCTTTTTCCATAGCTGATTGGTTGTAACTCGTTTACAACCACCATAGTCTTGAACAACGCGATAAAAGCGATAAAGATCTATATCTTTTCCACCAAGAATCGGCGCACGGTTAATGGGTGTTCCTATAATGATTCATTACAAAGAGAAAATTCAAACTATAACTTCATAAGAAATGAACTAAAAATTTATAAAAGTGCTTTACCTCTTTCCTCTTGGAATTTGTACAGCTGAGCCACAAACAGGTCTCTCTCTTCCCCATATTCCTCTTCACCACTGCTCTCTGAGGTCTCCGAGCTACTTTCCACTCTATAAATGAAACATCTATGCAGATTTTAGAACAAAGAGGCAAACGAAAAATACAAACCAAAGAAAATAGAGTCAAGAAAACTTACTTTTTCTCCGCTTTCTTCTTCTTGGCATCGTCCTCCTTTTTCGAAGTTTCGGCCTTATCGTCCTTCTTGGCCGTTTTGATGCTTGTATCAGCTTTGACAGGTTCCTTTTTCCTCGGAATACTTGTATCGGCGTAAATCTCCTTTGCAATCCAATTATTTGGGAGCGTGCCTGCAAAAGTGCACGCACTTTGCGTCAAACCGGATTGGAGCACACGAACATTATCGAACTCTTCGCTTAGACTCTTTCGAGGGAATAAGAGGAAGTTTCAAATCTACTAACTAGGGCTTGACAATGCGTCATTGAAAGGAGCAAATTCTAAAGGAAGGGAATAAGATGGAAGTAGGGCGTAATCAATAAATCGATATGCAAAAACAGTGTGTACAACACATGATCGTGCCTATGTACGCTTTCTTGAATTTATGCAGAAAATGGAAGAAAGGAGCTGAGCAAGGACATTAGCTCACCTTTACTATTGAACGCGTTCGCTCTGTCGACAGCCGTGCGCTGCGGATTACTCATCGCATCGAGGGCTTTTTTACTTATAGGCTGGTCGTCCAATAGAACTAGGTTCGCGAGTGATGCGGCGAAACTAGAACACAAGGACAAGATTAATTCCTCTACTCCTCACTAATAGTATACAAATCGGGAGTACAGTAACTCACTACTTTCCATTTTGGAAACTGCGTACGGGAATTTCGTTTTTTCCCAGATTTTTCCCCTTTGTAGTTAAATCTCTGCAAGAGATGGTGATTAGATAATACCAAGAAAACAAGACTCAAAATAAAGATCGCAGTGAAAAGTCGATCAGATACCTGTAAACTTTCAATGCGACAACAACAGCTGGATACCATTTTCCTCGATGCTGTGCATCATCGTAAACACAAACAACACTACCGGCTCTTAGCTAAACAAAGAATGAGAAGACTAAAAATGTTGCAAGATGACTGTCTAACCTTCACTCGTAATTCTTCCAGCTGTTCAGCTTCGCTTTTCTGATTCTGTTGAGCTTTGCGAGGTGACTCTTCCTTCTTCTCCTGCTCTTTTTCCTTCTTCTTTTTCTCCTCTTTGTCGGGTTCCACCTCTGCATCACTGGACTCCTCGCTACTGCTGCTCATGTCACCATCTCCACTTTCTTCTGTATCTCCCTGAAACACAAATTTTATTTCGAGTTTTATAAACTGTGTTAAATGGACAGGTCGCACTCAAGCATTACTTTAGCGCTTTCAACGGTCCATTTTGTGATTCAGTCTATTTCTGACTATTGCAATGTACAATAACAAGCGGTATATTCCCACTTAAAGAATTTGATTTCACGAAAAGGGCTCAGAACTGGCAGAGAAGGTCGTAATGTTTTCGAGATGCTACGCACTGAGCAAGAATACGTAAAATTCGGTTAAAAAGATCATATAAGATGACAGCTTTCAAAATAGACGGAGACACAGGTTATAATGAACGGTATTCCAAATAGAAGCACTTGAAAACAGGAACATAAGAGTTTGTTATGCTTTACACATGTATCAAGTAGGAGATTGACATAATTCCACAGCACAGTTCACACAGATTGCAACAAAGTACCAGGTTTTTCCAAGAACAACATTTACATGAAGAGATGAGTCTCAAAGATTTAGACTATCTACTAGACTACTCTAAAAGCATTGAAAAAAGTCCACTAAAAGTTGCATGGCAAGTGAAATGAAAAGCATCTCTGTGTAATGAAAAGCATCTCTGCACTCTTAAGGCCAAGCACTTATGAAGAAAAGCAACGGACATGTTGATTATCTCTAATACATAACAACAGTACTCTGGAGAGGACTGAGGTATATATTTTTGGCCTAGTCTTAGGGCCGCATGCACTAACATCTTTGCCGGGGAGGGGATCGTAGCATAAAAGAAAGCTTCTCCTGAAGTTCCAAATATCTGGATTTCACGTTGTCTACCTATCCGTAAGTATTCCTGCCTCCTTCACTGTGAACATCTTGAACGGGAGCAAGAAACTGTACAAGCCGCATTTTCCAGCTTTCTTTTTGTATGACCCCCCTGGTGATCCTCGGGGGACGACCGTCTTTTCTTTGAAGTCATTTTTCTTTCTTCAAAGTTAATGAAAACATTCCAAAGTTGTGCTCTTTTCTAACCCAAGAGTGCTAATCATGATTCTGGTAAGATCAAGTGATGTTTCGAAGTCATGAAATTCGCGGCGAACCAGCACAAGGCGAAAGTTGGTGTTTACCGAAAAAATAAATATTTCAAAAAATCATTTGTTTTCATCAGTAACACGCTTAGCATTGTTGGGTTAAATGATCAGTAAACTTTGGAAGGTTTCGTTAACTTCGAAGGGAGAGAAATGACTGACAAGAAAAGATGGCCGGCCGCAGAGATCATCAGGATATGATTTTAAAAAAGCTGGAAAATGCGGTTTGTTTCTTGTTCCCGCTCGATATCTTCAGAGTGAAGGATGGTGAGAATATACTTAAAGATTGGTAGGCAGTGTGAAATCCACATTCTGGAGTTTTTCAGGATAAGAAGCCTTATTTTGCTGCGACCCCTCTCCGACGAAGATGTTAATGCATGCGGCTTTTAAGTTAAATTTAAAATGAAAAACTGACAGCTTTCCTTTATTCCACATGGAATGAAAAACGTGAGAAAAATGGTGAAGCAAGTATTGATGGTAGATAGAAACAAAGAAAAAAGATATACAATTGAAAAAAAGATGTAAAAATGAAAGTTATCTAACCTGATCCATCTCTCCAATGGCTACGCTAGCAGCTGAAGCAGCCGCACGTTTCTTACGTTTCTTCACCTCATCGTCTTCGCTTTCCTCTTCCCGACGGCGTTTGATTCTTGAAAAATCGCGAAAATCAAAGTTATACAAAGTTCTGAGCTTCACATACTTTTTAATTTTCTTCGTTTTTGCCTGAAGTTTCGGAGGTGCACAGAACTGTTCAGGATTGTACAATGGCATTTGATCAAGATTTGATTCACTGTCAAAATGTCTGCCTCCTTTCAGGCACATCTGAGTACGCCGTAATACTTTTTCGTCGCCATCGTTGAACACTAAAAAATCAAAATCATGGGAAGGAAAGGAAGATTTTCATGACGACCAAATACAATAATCAATACTGACCGACGTGATATGTACTGCAGTCTTTTATGTGTTGTATAACACCTTTGACATGATGTTTGCCTTGTGCAACATCTACAATTTGGTTCACTTCGAGTGTGCCTCTAATCAAATGTTCTTCCACGACAATAGTGCCAAATGGAGATTCTTTCAATGCAACCTACAACAAAAGATTCCTGCAAAAAATCAAAAGCAAAGTCAAAAAACAAAAATTTACAAATAAAAATCAACCACACTTGCCTTGCATTTCACAGACTTGCATAGTTTCTTGATTTTAGCTTCGCAGAATGCTCCTTTGAATTTTGCACTGACTTCGGTCCCTGGCGGCAGAAAGGCAGGATCATCCGACTGAAAATTGGTTGGTTTCAAGCAATATTTATAGATTACCCCCTTTTGCTAAGAAGTTAACAGATCAGACAGCATCATAACTCAAACTGTCAAAAAGCGTTGAAAGGCGACAATTTCATATCAAACGCTTTGCACCTGGATAAGTACAGAATGATAACGTATCATTCATCATGAGATCAAAAGAATCACTACCGCTTTGCACAAATTGTCTGAACAAGCATAAACATGTGGACAACAAGTGTGCCCATTATCTATCTCATCTAATATGACTCAATTTCTAAAAGCAGGTCAAAACAAGTTCAGGCATTTCTGAACAATAAGCGCAAAGCGGTTTCGACCTCTTAGTCATAGAATGGACGATATTTGAAATTATATATAGAAAAGTTGCTTATATCAAAATGGAGCTCACCTGCATGTTAACACTTCCTCTCAACCTCTATCAAAGGTGACCATAGAGCAAAGACTTATTTAGAGTTCGTATTTCAGTTCAGAATTGGATAACCTGAAGAGTGGGCTCAAACAGCATCCAAATTACAACTTTCATCTGCTTGAAAGTACACCGAAAATAACGCAGAAAGAAAGAAGCATACCAAGTTTTTCAAACAGCAGAAAATAGCTCCACTATGAAAAGCAAAACAAATCGCTTTGGAAAACAATAGTGCGACTGGCGCATGATAACGCGCTTGGAGCGCGACAGGCTTCGGTAAACAATGAGGAGGCAAATTTGCGCTAAAATCTTTTGCTAAGCCAGACGTATCATTTTACTCAAGGAACTGTAGAGTTTGTTTGGAAATAACTTAGGAAAAAACTTTCTGAAGCTTCGATTCAAGGGACTACTTTGATAAAGTCATATTTTTATTCGCTACTTTATCAGGAGGTTGACCCCCAGATTCCGGAATCATTTGGAAGTATTGCGCTTACGGATTTGTGTTGAGTACTATAATCCTCATTCAACTTCTCTAATTGGAAAAGTCTGAAAAAGAGAGCGAAGAATGGAAACGAATCTGTTTAAAGGCATCGCATGAAACATCGAATTTTGCCCTGCAAACGAAAGAACATGGTCTCAATATCAGGGATGAAACAAAATCAAATTGTTGTAAAATTGTCAAAAATGCGACTAAAAAAGGAAGGGGAGCAAAAATGTGGAAATGTTGACATTTAAGTGCCATTTAAAAGCTCTGTATATCTCTGCTGGATAGACCATGGAAAATCTTTGGATTATACCTAAGTTTTTGCTGTTTCTTGATAGGATTATTACGGATAGGGTGACGTGTGAGTTTTATAAGTCTAAGCTACAGAAAACAAAATCCTGGGACGATTGCGTTTCTTATAGCCTTTTTGCAATCCCGAAAATTTCGGACTAATCATGTCGACAAGGATAGTAATGATAGTATTCTTCAAAACAACTTGGTATTACACGTTGCATTTTCGAAAATTCCCCGTTTTCGCAGTTCAACTTCAAACCATCATAAGTCTGAGAAATCCTTGAGTGCAATGACTTATGTTGTATCTAAAAATTTTGTTAGTATTTTCCATATCTCGGATTCACGATTCGTGTAGAGACGGAGTCGTGGCAGCTCAAAGCGTGGCGGTTTTCCATAAGGGGCGGGCATTTATGATTTATGATTTATTTGCCTTTCATATTATTACAATATGCGGCACCCAAACAAACTGATCCATTCTTTTAACGTTGAGTGATCTTACTCTTTGCCAGATGCAAGTGCCAAGCTTCTTCTGAAATTCGTCTCTCCATCTCATCAGGGCCAGTATAGCGAGTCGTGTTCTCTCCAGGGCTTCTTGCAGTTCATGTATGGTCGAGTCATTTGTAACTTAATATGCGTATTGCACACCATATGCGCTATTTGACGAACTTAGAAGATTGGAACCTGCTTTTTTCAGCGACTTCGCCTTGTTTCTTTGCCTATTTTAATTTGAAAGGATATTACTTAGTCAGTAGTATACACTTCCACACTTTGTTACACTGGAAAAGATTCGATCGAGAAGTTAATGCTAAGGGTGCCGTCTGTTGAAACGCTTTGTGTGCAGGCTCACATATTAAGCTACGAATGACTCGACGATAGTTGGACTTCGTCTGGCAGGCGTCTCTCGTTGAATGTTCCGATGTGTAAACAGTCGTTGTTGGGGTGGAACATACTTGGTCCTGCTGTTCCGGCTTCCTGGATCAAGGGGTTTGACGTCCGGTAGGGTGGGGAAGACCGGTCAAAATGACCGACCAGTCGGGGGACGTGTAGAAGATGAACTGCCGAGGCGGGCATACTTCACGCAATTTCACTCGCGACGCGATTTGGCAATATTCCAACTGTCCACAACTCACTGTAAGCACATTTTAAATGTACAGAAGACAGGGCATTTTATCAGTCGACGTAAGATATACATATATGCATGTGCAGTTTGCTAGTGTTGGATTTGAAGACTTTTGGCTAAATGCCAAATCGCGTCGCGAATGAAATCGTGTAAAGTGTGCCCGGCCCCATAGCGAGAGAATACGGAAAACAATGTTGTAACGCGGAGGTTTAACAAGTTTATTTTTACAATCAGGCAAAGTCCGCAACCCGCCTCTACACGAATCTTGGAGCCGATCATACCTTAAACTCCTTCTAAATACAAGGTAAAAATTTTCTATATGATCACCAGACATTTTTCTTCAAAAAAAAAAAAAAAACTCTACCATAGAGAAACTATGGCCCGGCTCGAAATATTCTAAGGCAGCACAGGGTTTGATCGTTATTATTCAATTCGTCTCAATAGTACTACATACATCGGATTTCACTCAAATTTCCAAGAAAGAAATTTCTGCAAGAAAATACAAAACAACCCAGCTATTTTGCTCTCTGTGATTAAAAGATTGCAGTTTTGGTTTGTAAGCAGTAATGGTACTATTAGAACTGTGAATCAGGTTTGATGAATAGGTAGAAGGCAGGTGAAAATATTTTCCTTGTCTTTAGAGCAGATTATGGACAGCAATTTGCTGAGAAAAATTAACGAATCTTCTCATACGAAGCTTTTCATAGAACCTATCACGTGTGGCGAATGCACTTCGGAAGAGCTGTAAATGTAGGATATCAATAGGTGACATATATAATTGTTAATCCACGGAAAATCTAGAAAACTGTCTACAATCTTCAATTTTTATGAAAATCAGACTACTAGAGCAATATCATTTTCAAATCATTAGTCTTCAAGTCCATCTCGATTTCTAGGATGTGTCTAAGGCCCCGGACAGACTTCACGCGATTTGATCGTCGCGACTCAATCGCCGACATTTTCATTCATTTTCATTTCACATTCAAAAATTTCGCTGGAAAAGTATCACAACCGAAATGCAAGTTGATCGCCATGGAATGATGTTGTAACAGTTGTCTCGTCGCGATTCAGTCGCGACGGTCAAATCGCGTGAAGTCTGTCCGGGGCCTAATGGAGTCAGCAATCACTCCGATAAATAAAATTGAGGGATGCTCTGAGCGAATTTGATCTAACCACATAAGTAATACATTGATTGTATGAAGACAACATATATGTAGAGGAGTTTCAGGTAAATCCATGGATCTGCTGTTTTTACATACTCGCATGATTTACCAAAAACTTTTACAATTGTCCTAAGCAGATTTTTATATTATAATAACTTTGGAGCGTCGTGACGAACCAAGAGCCGGCGGGATGGCGTCACATTCTAAGGTTCTAAATATTGAATTTCTATGGTTGATTAACTCTTTTCAGTCACATATGTGCTTCTTCCTTCTGATTTTCCCACACTTCCAACAAACTCTTCCAACAATAAGAGTCACTATTCAGTGAATGATAAAGCAGACTATTCAAGATATGACCAGATCTCGCCAATGGGCTCTCGTTGATATAAGTACTAAAGAATTATCTAACTGTTTTAAAGACGGCTAAGTCCACTGAAGAAAATTTACTGCTTAAAATGCAAGATTTTATATCGAAGAGAGTTTGTAAATCGAATCCCCGTTCCAATAGTTCTACGCTCTTTGCTCTTGCTCTGCAACACAAATTGGCAACATGCTGCGCAATCAATGGCCCCAAGGTCCTCCTCATAGAAGAGCAGAGAGAACTTCAGAATGTGGTGACAGCTGCTATTGTCACCACAGAGTGCGACCTTTTGCTTTACTTCTGTCGATGACGACCTATCGACTGCTGGATATTGTGTCCCGCTCTCTTGATTCAGACAAGTTGCCATGGAAATTTTTCTCCGAAAGTTTTTCTCCAAATTTTCGCAGCTTTGTTTGATAATGCTTGCTGCTGTTCTTGAATATGCTCCCATGACAACCGCAGCATAGGCTGTATAAAAATATCAAGAATTTCGATCCAGCCCAAGTGAGAATTTATCGAATTCTGTAGGATAACGCTGCCCATTTATAAGCATTCCTTTCTGCAACATTCTCAACATTTTGCGGAAAAAGCTCATAGCGTCTCGACCCAACTTTGCTTCGTTACTTTCAATGGTATATACAAAAGGAAATGAATAAATCGCTCTACAACTTGTCAAGCAGTTTTAGGTTTTCGACTGCATCCAGAATTTGCAATGTCTTTCCTAAACGAAGCTCAGTAATTAATACCTAACAGTACTGGATTGTCGATTCTTTTTGCTGTTGATTTTCTTTGTTCTGCTGCTGTCAGATTATTTGATTTTCAAGCCCGGTTTATCGCTTCCACTCGAAATGGGGGGACGGAACTTGGGAACCCGAGCCTAATTAGCTCGATTCGGGGAGTGCCTGCAGGTCACAGTCATGCTCGCTGTCTCTGATTACTCACTAGGACATAGCAACAATCTAAGCCCCGCCCCTATGAGAGCCTGTTTGGAACCTAGCCAAGGAATGCTGAAAATCTCATTTGAATTTTAGGGCTGGCTCTAAGCCAAAAACCTTCAAAGTGATCGTACGAAGGTGAAATTAGGCTCAAACGAAAGAGAAAAACCGTGTCATCATCATAATATATCTACTGAATTTAAACTGATTGAACACAACATTTTCTTGGTCCAAAACTTTATTCAAATGTTAAATTACTGAGAAATTATTCAAAAAACCGTCAAGTTTTTCAAAAAAAATTTATTTGAGTGCTGAATCCTAGCAAAAGACTACAATATCATTCGAGAAATGACAGTTCAAAAACTTCCCGAGATTGATATTTATTTGAATGCTGAAATTTAGGCGAAAGACTAGAAAATCAATGCGAAACGACAATTTATAACTCAAAAATAAAAGTTTGTTTGTGTGCGGAAGTCTGGGCAAAAGACTAGAATATCAAGAAATGACAAATCAAGAACTTCTCAGAAACAGTTTTTTTGAGTGCTGAATTGCTAATAAATGGTTTTCACCCTTTATGCTACTATTTATAAGGAAAATTTCGCTTCAAACTGTTATTGCAACCTTTCCTTGCGTAGGTTGAGATCATTGCTTCCAGCATCTTACCAGGATGTTCTCATCAGAATCGTCTGTCGTTGACAGATTCAGCAATATCATTGGTGAAGTTTTTGAACTGTCATTTCTTGATATTCTAATCTTTTGCCCAGGCTTCCGCATACAAACAAGCTTTTATTTTTGAGAATTTTATAAACTGTCGTTTCGCAATTGATTTTCTAATCTTTCGCCTAAATTTCAGCATTTAAATAAATATCAATCTTGAGAAGTTTTTGAATGTCATTTCTCGAATGATATTCTAGTCTTTTGCTAGGATTTAACATTCAAATAAATTTTTTTTGAAAAACTTGACGGTTTTTTGAATAATTTCTCAGTAATTCAACACTTAAATAAAGTTTTGAACCAAGAAAATGTTGTGTTCAATCAGTTTAAATTCAGTAGATACATTATGATGATGACACGGTTTTTCTCTTTCGTTTGAGCACCTTCGTACGATCACTTTGAAGGTTTTTGGCTTAGAGCCAGCCCTAAAATTCAATTGAGATTTTCAGCATTCCTTGGCTAGGTTCCAAACAGGCTCTCATAGGGGCGGGGCTTAGATTGTTGCTATGTCCTAGTGAGTAATCAGAGACAGCGAGCATGACTGTGACCTGCAGACACTCCAAAAATGGAGCTATAATTAGGCTCGGGTTCCTAAGTTCCCTCACCCCCCGAAATGGTCTCCACTAGCTGTGGGAACCCTTCAATAAGGAATGATTGAGGGTCATTTGATATTTTAAAACTTCAAAGGAACTTTTGCAGAGGCCCTTTTCACCGACTTTTCTGGGCTAGAGGGACTTTCTGCATTTTTCTAATTTTTCACAGGGTCATAATACTATGAAGTTTCATAATACTACGACTATAAGCTCAAGCAGTAATCTACAGACTTAGCAATTTGCGTATGAAGTTTGTGATTCTACAGTCTAGAATTAACCCTGCCAGAAATCACAATAATAACATATCCATCTGAAATGTCTTCAAAAAAATAGTTTATTCAAGAATCTTCATTCAAAATCTACCTGTATATATGACAATTTTTGAGAAAACAAGACTAGACAATGGTAAGCTAAGGACTTCATAACTCTGAGTATTCACTTAGTGCCGACCTTTCTATTGAAATTTATTTTTTTTGCTGCGTATTTGCTATAGCCAGATTTCCGTGATAGTAAAAATCCATCCGAACATTCTGTTTCCTTTCTTATTGTATGGTATTGCTTACCATTCAAAGAAAATTTTTTCAAAATTTTTTGGCGGCGCTTAGCAGTAACGAATCACAAATGTACTTTCTGTTTACATTTGATAGTGTCAACCTATCGCCAAACCTGCTCGCACACTGTTAAAGGATGTCGATTACCGTAATCCGCGTGGGGCAGTCCATCGTTCACAGGTGTAATGGCTTGCTAAACTATGCGTTAAAAAAAATTTTTTTTTGCTCGTAACATATACTACGGCGGATCCTCCGCTTTCTAGAAATCCAAAATCTTTTTGTTTTTTAGAAATGGTCTCTTGGAGAGTAGCCGGTATCAACTACGTACGATATTCACAGATTGCTGCTGAAGTTGTAAGAAAATGCGTGAAAAAGAGTGCTGAAGCTGGAAAGAAACCTGTTACTGGACTGAAGGTAAACTTTATCTGGTCCTATTTTTTTTTCGCTCAAAATTTGCACGAGTTCGGATTTGTCTTCCAGAAATATTTGTTCTTTATTTGTTTAGAACACTTCCGCAATTTTTATGAAAATAATACCGGAAAATGAATAAGAATAGTTCACCTTTGTAAGGCATGTCTATCAATAGCGGAAGGTTTTTCTACCCGCTTGAGATTTTGGTCAAATCAAGAAATCTTTAAAATCAGAACCACTCACTGCTAGAGCAACATAATTTTACTTCAAATGAATCAGAAAGTTATTCTAGTTACACTGTTTGTGACTAAAATAATTTTTGTCATTCAATTCGGAAAACTGTTTTTGATCCAGCTACACTGGTTGGTTATTTTCTTATTATGACTGGCAAAACTCTTTTTTCCTAATAGTCTTCCTTCTATACTCCCTCGACAAAACTTCAAAATGTGTTTTTTTATATTTTGTGCAGCATTTCTGCAAACTTATGGTGAGAAAGAAATCGAACAACTTGCCTTAGCTTGGTTTGAAACTCACAATCTAAACAGATATGTTTCTGTTATGATTAGTTGACAAAAATGAAGAACTATTCGAATTATTATTGAGAAATATCGAACTAATTATAAACATTATTTCCTATAGTGGAGATGGGTTCCCCGAAGTGAATTACGCTGTGCGCTAGAAAAGTTCGAAGTGGAAAGTTAACATTCTTACGAAAACTGCGCTTTCTTCCCTTTTGATTCTACTCCGAAACAATAAGATCTTATTTTGATTTTTTTTCCTAATGGATGCATGAAAATCCATTGAAACGAACTCAACAGCGCATCAACTATCTGGTATTACGGACCGCATCTTCTCAAATCTGATTACAAATTTGATATTATAAACGATCTATTCAGATGACCGCGTGGGAAGCAGGAAAGCAGGCGAAGAAAGTCCAATAAAACTCAGACGATACACGAATAGGAACGATCTAGCCCCAAAAGAAGATTTTTGTCTCATGGCTCTATCATCCTCGACTAGTCTCGTGTAGCTCTGCTTGATGAATTTGTAATAAATGTAATGATAGTGTTTCTTCTAGCCTTCTTCGTATAAAACAGTGAGTCTGTTGACTGGATATTGAAGCATAAAGAGATGCCTTGATCTTTGTGTATAAAACATCGCTTCAGTAAGAGTCTGCGGGAGGAAAAACTATAATTTTCTAACAGTTTTAATGACAAAGCTTACAATCGCATATGCACCGTGAATTGCAAAGCGTGCGGTGCAAGTTCGTACGTGGTCTTCAAAAAGCGCGAAAATCAATTTTGAAGTGCATGCTTCACTGCTACACGTTTTTTGTCGTCGACTCTCGCTTCGATTGCTCAAGTCCTGGAGCAAGCTGCACCGCTAATTACCTTAGTTTCTCCTCCTCTTCGTAATGAGGTTCTGTAGTTGTTGACTGTCTTTTTCTCGTCATTTTGACTGTGCATTTCTGGGCTTACCAACTAGCTAATCCTCCGTATTCAATTTTCATTGAGATTAAGCCTCAGCCAAGGGAGCAGAATCTTCGTATAATTGAATGACATGGTCTTCGACTCGTTTCGATATTCAGCACTCTATATGCGTTTTAAGAAGTATCGATAGGGAAAACAGTTGGATTCACAGTCTTATTCATTTCAAATCAAGTTGCCCGTCCCGTCTGCCTAGCAGTGGCTTTGAGTAGAATTAAACGTGAGAAAATGATGCTCTGCTGCCTGCGTTCCGATTCGCGGAGAAAAATGGTGTCCGATACAGAATAGGAGGTGTCGAAACATTTTGATGTTCTCCCTCTCCACCTGCCATGCTATTCCAGGAGGTGATTCTTACGATTTTTGTCATTCCTGCAGTTCTTGAGATTCCTCGACTTACGATGTCCAGCACTATGTAGCGCTTTGCTAAGTTTAGTATGCATTGTTTTTTCGCAGTATACATTGTTACGGGACCCGCAGGAATCACAGGAATAGTATGGCCGGTCCCTCCCATTTGCTTGTCATATGCTGAAGTTATCTCTCGCCGTCCTACAACATTCTCTATCGGAAAACTGGAAATTTTTTGTGCTTGTTGGGAATTGAATGAAACTGTGAAGGGAGAAAAATGTAAAAAATCCAACATCGTAGATACTTCTGAGAAGTTACGGTCAACATGTGGATAGTGAATGGCTAGCGCAGCTAATTTTTCCCTTTCAACGATTTAGCTATGTTTAGGCATGGTGAACATGCTTTGCCAACAACTAACCTGTTTGGCTGCGTTCATACTGATCCCGAAGTTCGGGATCAGTATGAACGCTAATGTTAACATGCATAAAAAATAATATATCCTTGGCTGGCTAAGATGTCCAAGCTTTTTCTGTTTTTATCTTCCCAATCCTTTTTTCTCCCTTTCGTGTAACTTCTTCTGTGCTTTCGCCCCAGACGTCGCTATGTTAAAGTAGGTATTGCCCTAATCTGATTAAATCATGTCCAGCTTTTCTAACAACGTGAAACTTTGCTATCTTAAGCAACATCTTTCCATGTATCGCAGTATCTTTGAGCGTATTCGTGCTGCTGTGGCTTTTATCTAAGCATAAAGTAGCATCATTACAGTCTAAGGCCCCGGGCAGACTTCACGCGATTTGATCGTCGCGACTGAATCGCGACGAGACAACTGTTACAACTTCATTCCATGCCGATCAACTTGCATTCGGTCGTGATATTTTTCCAGCCCGAAATTTTTGAATGTGAAATGAAAATGAATGGAAATCTTGGCGATTAGATCGCGACGATTAAGCCGCGTGAAGTCTGCCCAGGGCCTAACACATTCGCATGGCTTTACTGCCAACTTTTTCTTTGCTAAAATCTGCTGAAGTGGGGTTCTGGAAGCGGGAACCAAGAAGCAGGAAAATGTTAACCGATGCATAAGGCTGGGTTCATACCTATCCGTAAGTTCCAGAACAGTTGCAGCACAGCGCCCATTCAAGCGCTATGCTGGAACTGCTCCGGGTTTTACGGGTCAGTATGAACCCAGCCTAAGATTTCTGTATTGGTTGATGTGATGCTGGTTACGATTAGCCAATTGCAAGATGCCTTGCAAACAGAGTAGAGCCTTCCCAGTCTTGACCTACTCGGTTGTAGAAACTTTCCGGTAAACAGACGATGCACTAATCTCCCAATGTACACTGGTAGTTGGACATCCATCTGGATCTAGCTTGGATCATGGACAGCTTTGACACATTTTATAAAAGCACAACATTCGTATCTTTCAATTCCATCAGCTCTTCCCCCATTCATCCGCCTTCTCGCTAAGTGTCCAGTATGCGAATCACTTTGAGCTAGCAATGTGCTCTTTTGAGATCGCTGAATAATGATCTTCGAACTTTTGGAAACTTTTTAGAAGCGTAAATCATCGACCGAGAATCACTCATAATTCGTCACTTTATAGATTTGATTTGGACAGAAAAAGTGAAAAGAAAAGGACCTAGACACCAACTTTGTCTTTCTTCTTACTATCCTTTTTCGTATATCGCGGTTCTACCTTACTTGTTATTGATGTTGTGGGGGTAAAGAATAATACTTGCAGGTCGTTATGGTACCTCCCTTCAAAGGGGAGAAGAAGAGCAAAGTTGATGATTGCTATCCGCCGTCCAGATTTGCAGTAGAAGCAAGCAGCCCATACTTTATTGGTAAACACAAACTTCCGCGAAGGCGAGTCGATGAAGCTAAGAAATCACCAACGAAAAAGACGCTGCTTGCACATGGATTTGGTGGTGATGGATTTTGCTCAAGTACGCAACCCGAGGTGAACATGAACATAATCTGTTCATTTTTTCCTTTTTATCATGCATGTTTGCAGAGCAGCAAGAAGATAACTTGTAAGGAAGTGCAGCCTCGCACCTCAGGCGCGTCCGTGAATGCTTGCAATGGCCTGGCGTTTGATTTCAGTGGAGATCCGAAACTAAAAAGGATCCGCGAAGTCATTGTGTCGATTGTCGATTCGGTGAGTCTTGTTCTTCATTCATAATTTCTACTTCGTTTTGCATAAGTTGAATTTCGCTAGTTCTCACTTCTTTTCATTGAGTGATACTATATTTGCTTACTGCGTGGAAACATGGCAGTTTCACAGTTTTTGATAATACTTCTTTTTTTCTACTTTTTGTAAATACGACTCTCTGAGTTTTCTCGTTATGGGATCATCCTCACTCTTAAGTAATGGTTACACTCTAGTCTGCTAGGGAAAGCCTGGAGAGCCTATACTCCGTCTAAGGGAAGGAATGAAACGGACAATCAAAAAACTTCTTTCTTTTATGCATACTTTTGCATCTCTCACACAAAATCGTTGTAGTAGTCATCACCAATGTGCAAAGCACCAACATTATTTGCTCGAAAGGCAAGGTGCACAGCTTCCCCACGAATGTATCACTTGTTCAGGGGGTAGTTTTTTGCACACTTTTATCTTTTCTCCTTCTACTGTCATGGTGATGGACGAACAAAGTAGAACTCATGCTAACATTTCTTTTTAACTTATGCTAGCATTTCTTTTTACGTCTTTTTTCACATATATTTACAAGATTTCCAAGAGTTGACTCTGTTGTGGATGCCTGTGCGAAACATCGACATTTTTCATTATACTTATTTGTCTAAGCTGTTGCTCAGAAAGGCTCTCGTGTTTCATTTACAGTCCGAGTGCGAAATGTTCACTATTGGAGCAACGCAGTTGCTAGCATCCATGTACTTATATATGCTTTTTTTCAAATGAGAACAAAGTGCCATTGTGTCAGCTTTCGAGTTTGCAACGGAAAAAAGCACTTTATCAGTAAGACAGGGCAATAGCGTCAAGAGGTGTCAGTTGTAAGTTTAGGAAGCTGTGCAATGAGCGATAGAGTGATATGGTAGTGATGTGAGGTCTGCTTATTGTTTCTCTCGTTTGAACCATCTGCGGCAAGTGATGTTGTTGTTCTCCATTTTCTGAAGGGAGTTGTATAAGCAATATTTGAACATCTCTCAGTTGAGAACATAAAGTAAAAGAAAATCTTACCAAGACCAGCCTATCGTTTTCATCAATGTTGTAATGATAAGTTTCTCCTTTGTCATTGGGGTCATCCAGTCGAACATGCTTTTCGTTCAGGGTGTCATTTTCGTAAGTGAATGTTATCTAAACAGAGCAGAACATGGTGAAAACGATGGTACCAGTATCAGTCAAAAAAGTACAGCTATACAATCTTGGTAGCAGCACGGAAATTGCTCTAAACCACTCTAAATTTTGACGACGATAAAATAAGATAATAGAGATCAAATTTATGTTAGCATCTGGCATCTTTTCCGGAAAGTCAAAGCGCTGAGAACTTACATTATGACGTTTGTCATCCAAACCGTCAGCTTCGAAGGTCTCACCGAGCTTCCATCCGTGATACAGCGTATTCTTCTTGGACGTCAGATTTTCATAATTGTAACTAAAATGATATCTGTGGTTTGATTTTTATGCTATAGTCTTTATTTATTTACATGTTATTTTGCATGAGAGTCTATCAATCATGTTTTTGATATGTGAAAATTCTTACCCTGCTACCGGGTTTTTGGCGAATACTTTGGTCACGCTGGCAAGCTGGATCATTTTGCGGATTATCCAGTTTACTCCTTAAGAAATTGTTTGAAGATCTTAGGGGAACTATGTCTATGAAACAGACCTTTTGCTGCTAAAAATTCGTCGAAATTCTCGCTCCGCTCCAAAGTAAATCTTCCAAAAAATTTATCCGGTATCGTAGCCATCTGAAGCGAAGTAGCGATGCATATTGCAAGAAGGAAGAGGAACCGCATTGTTCGCGGGAGAGGTGAATGAGTGCTCAGTATGTGAGGAGTGGAATATATACGGATATCGGAACAGACATTCATATCAATCAAGTCGATCTCACACCTGACACTGGGATGCAAATCCAATGTTGCAGTCGGAGCAAGAACTTTGATTTTCGAGACCATATTGTTTTGAGAAAGTCTGCTTCAAAGCAATATTGCAGTGATGGTATTGTCATCTAGTAAAGAAACAAATACTAGTGCAACACTGGACTACTGTGTCCTTAAGGATATCTGGTGTGACCTTTGTTATCACCTTTATGACCCAGTTTTGTTTACCTGTCCTAGTAATCAACCACAATACATAATAACTTAGCTACACACCACAAACTCGCTTTTGAAAGAGCTAAATAAGTGATTTATTCAAAAACAAAGCGTGGAAAATGCTGTAGTTCTTTGTTTGTTCTTAAACAAAGTACTAAAACTTCCAAAGCAAAATTAGCAAGAATTCTAAGATGCATTAGTTATCATTCTAAATTTAAAGGTTTTTCCTGCTATAAAATTGCAAAATTAGGGTAAGTAATGCATGTCGAAAGATGCCAAAATTCTACCAAATAGCTGAGGGAATTGTTGTAAACGGGATGCACAGCGTGCGCGGCTGAATTGACGATTGTCAAGGGCGCGGTGGTTGCACTTTTAACGGGGAGTGTGGAGCAGTTTTGCCAGAAGTTTTGCAAATGGGAGCTCAGCTTCTTGTAGAATGAGTTCACTTTTGATCTAAGAAGCTTTTCGAAACGGTCACATTTTTTTGAAGGTGTTTTTTGTCGAATGACGATTGTAAATGGGAAGCAGAATCTACATAAAATTTCATATAAAATCCGAAGGAACAATTTACATATGATTTGTGTAATATGAATTAGTTTGAATATTGTATAATGTATTTGAGGATGCTTTACTGCTTCTAGGAAAGGAAACGAGATGATGACAAAGAATTGCACGAAGCTATTGCGTCTACTGCATACAGAGCTATGGAATTCGTCAACGGCAATGGTAAAACTAAGAAGTGCAAAAGGTACTTTCGCCAATGTAGTCTTAACTTTTCGAGGTCGCCGTTTCTTTGATCAAAAGATTTTTTTTGAAACCTATAAAAAACTCACAGAAACGCCGTCTGCTTACGGTCCATACAGTGGAGAATTTTCAGCGATATTCACTCATCACTTTTATTGCAGCTGGGAGAGAAAAGGTCTTGCTTCACTCAACGATTTCAAAATGGCTTCTGGAGCCCATATTGTGAAAGAGATGAAACCCGTGATATCGAGTCAAAGTCCCATGGTGAGCCTTACCTTTTTGACAAAAATTGCTAATTGCGAATTTTATAGAAATCTGAAGCTCTCGAGGACGTCCATTCGGATAACTCGCAACCTCCAAAGCGTTACCTGGGAAACAAGTAGTTATTTTTCCGCCTGATGTTGTTGTATTCAAAATTTTTTCATTTCAGGAAGATTACGCCGACATTCAGTGTCCCTCCAATGGTCAGAAAGGGTTTGGAAATGATGGACGTCAACGGAGGCGCCGGAGGTAGATTATTTTTCCTTCGAAGTTGTCATCTTTGTAGTGGATGGTGGCCTAGTTTTGAGCGGGAATTCATGCGTAATTCTTCTAGCTCAAACATCTACAAGTGGACTTCGGAACGAACCAACTCTCAAGCATTTCGATGAGAATATAATCTCACTCATCGAATCTGAGGTTGTTTGAAGCCCTTTCGCTTAAATACCTGAAATGGTTGTTGTTTTGTTTAGATCATGTCTGTAACCTACGAGACCGGATGGGCTGATGTTGCCGGACTTGAAGGTGCTAAAAAAGCATTGAGGGAAATAGTAGTATTGCCTTTCAAAAGACCGTGAGTCTACAAGTCCTTGTTTTTTCGTTACTATTAACCCCTCTTATCAGTGCTTCCGTTCTGTCTACAGAGGTCCTTTTCAGTGACATGTTCAAGGGAATACGAGCTCCCCCAAAAGGAGTTTTGCTGTTTGGTCCTCCTGGTACTGGAAAAACGATGATTGGTGAGAAAGACTGTATGTGTTTTACCTTGAGAGCTACTTTTTTCAATCACTTTTTTTTTGCTGAGCCTGATCTTTCACCAGTAACGCATCCAACAGCATTCCTCCCCCCACCCCCTGCTCCTGTAGGCGACTTTTCACGTTTAGTCTTTGTGTTTGATTCTTTCGAATAACTACTTCAGTATTTGTGGATGTTGTGAATTAGTGATCTTGTCCACTTCTGAGAACGCTGCTGTTATCTCCCTTCTTATGGTCAGCCGTATGCGATCAATCGCACCATTGCTGCACTTTTGAATTGTATAGGGAGGATTTTTGTAGCAATGAGTGACACGTCGTTTTTGAGAAGTTGATTTCACTAACCAATTACATCTCAAAATTTGACCAAAAATTAGTTTTTGATGCGACCATTGTTGATTCCAAGCCATTCACCACTTGCTGCCGGTGCAACCACTATTTTTGAAGTATTTAGAGTTCAACAGGATTTCAAAAGTGGTGTTTTAATTTTTATGATCACGCAAATACTCAATTTTCCCTAATGACTTACCTTCCCTTTTCAGGACGTTGTGTTGCTTCGCAGTGTAAGGCTACCTTCTTTAATATCTCCGCAAGCTCGTTAACGTCGAAGTGGGTAGGAGAAGGCGAAAAACTCGTTCGAGCGTTGTTTTCAGTGGCACGATTGAAATTGCCCAGTGTTATTTTCATCGACGAGGTAGTGTCTCTTACATCTCGTATTGTGGTCTTGAATGTGCATAGTTATAATTGAATCGCTAATAGGTTGATTCGCTTCTATCATCGCGGTCTGAGACAGAACATGAATCATCTCGACGAATCAAAACAGAGTTCTTGGTACAACTCGATGGTGTGGCGACAAATTCGGATGAAAGATTACTGGTTCTTGCTGCAACAAATAGGTGATGTGGTTAGAGAATGGAAGATTGTTCATCGGAACAATTTCAATGCTAGCGTCTTGAAAATTTTCATTGTGATTTCAGGCCTCAAGAGTTGGATGAAGCAGCACGACGGCGTTTTGTGAAGCGCCTTTACATCGCTCTCCCTGAAGCTGATGCAAGACTGACAATTGTGAAGAATCTACTAGCTGACATGAAGCATAACCTCGAAAGTGCAGATTTTGAAGAAGTGGCAAATTTGACTGAGGGTACGGTATCATACCTTATATCTCATTGTAGATTAATGCTACTGGTTCAGGCTATTCCGGTGCTGATATGCGGCAGCTTTGTGCGGAAGCTGCTATGGGACCGATTCGCGATATAGATAACTCTTCATCAATGGATATTGAGACTATAGAGACTGATGAGGTAGGCTTTATCCAGTTTAAGTTGGTTTTTTGTTTGATTTCTGACCAAAATGCACGCTTACAATGTTACAGATACGACCCATCTCCGTATCAGATTTTATAAAAGCTGCTCAAGTTGTTCGTCCGACTGTTGTAGCTGAAGACTTGGAAGCGTACAAAGTTTGGGACAGTAAATTTGGTTGCCTTCTTTAATACAGCGTTTTGCCTTCTTTACTAGATCTTGATGTATAATCGAGTTAGTGTTTTTTAAAGAATTGATCTCTGTTTTCATATCCAGCCATCAACGTCACTTATGTAAGTGGTAATAACGTTTACTTTACTTGAGGAAAAAAATCGACTGGTTAGACTTTTTTTGGGTGAACTAAAGCAGATCAGATGTAATTTCTGTATATATTGCTTCTGTAAGCTATCTTGAATAATATCTATAGTAAATTTTGTGAATAAATATTTTTTTGGAGGCTTTTGACTTTCAAAAGAATTGGAGATGCATTGCAATACTTTGATAACATTTATGTTTTTTTTCCTTTGAATTTGAATTTTCAAGCATGCAGATGATAAGCGCAGGCACTCGCCCGCAAATGCCAGTGGCGACATTTCGCTACAGAGGAGATCTCTGTCGTAATGTAGAAATACAGCGTAGATGTAGTGCACCACCAGCGGTACCAGTGAGGCCCGTACTTCAAGAAAATCGTCAACTACTCAGTCACTATGACTTTGCGAAAGGAGGTAATGGCTATCATTTACCATATTGACGCAGTGGTGAAAGACATCTCGTAGAGGAGAAGGCGGTGTAGGTTGTATGGGAAAACTTGTGTGTTGAGCAGGCAACAACTGAAAAAGCGGGGGGATGGCTGATGGGAAACCAGAGACCCGTCCTCTTCCATTCCTCTTCGCCTTTGTCTTATAGATTTACATTCTTCTTTGTAAATCTTCTAGAAGACTATTTGCAGTCGTCTACACATAATGATGTTGTTGTTTATGTATTTTTTTATGTTGTTCGTTTTCTTCTCTTTCTTCTCAGGGATTTCACTATGCTTAATAAATAAAAGCAGAAATGATTCTATTCCTACAATGTCCATCTTTTGCAACCTCTCAACCTACCTTAACCTCTGCTTGATTTTCTCATCTAGTCTAAGCTTGAGAAATCATTTCGGTTCTCAAATGTCGTTTTAATGGCAGTTTAAACTGGAATTTGGTTTCAGTATTGAAGCTATTAGAACAACTACGTCTTGATGCCAACATCTGGCACGAGGTCATCTACAATCCTCCTCGCACAGCTGTCAACAAGGTGACGGAGAAAGATATTGCCAGACGGTATGTCTGAAGTAGTTGTTTTTCTTCGCTTTTTATTCGTACGAAGAATTTTTTGTTCTACTTTATTTTCTTCTGCAATTTTTTTAGCTTGAGTAGTTCAGCACTCAATTTGTTCGTATTTTGAATCCTGCGTTCTCAGCTCTTTGAACGTTACCCATATCCGCTATAAGCTATAATTATGTTCCAATTCACTGCTGTTATGGCTTGCGCAGGAAAAACGATACTACCTCGATCAATGGGAGCGGCAGACGGGCTCAACGTCGCCACCCTCACGACTTGTTGTGTCTCGTGAAGCCTGTTTGTGACTAGTAGCGTGCTGCCACCACATGGCGCAATGGTTTCCTGGTTCTATCTGAAAGTGATAAATCGATTTTGCATTGAAAGCTAAGTTATGTCTTGCTCTCTATAATCAGCTATCAGTCGCTATACCTTCGCATTTTTCCGACTGTCGTGTGTCTGGCATTTTCTTGCCCTTCCTCCCTTTCGTAATCTCTGTGATCGTAGCGGAATACCAAGGATTGTACCGCTTGAACCCGTATCATCAATTCTTTTATTCATATTTGACGGACTTGCCTGACATGTTCAATGCAGTACCGGTTATGGGCTTTTTTTTTCAGATTGCGATTTGTTGGTAGCCGGTTTTCAAACCTTTCTTGCATTTTTGACAGTACTAGTTAGGGGGACTTTATTTTAAATTGCGATTTATGTTGAAAGCCGAAATTTTTTATTCTTTATCTAATTTTCAATCAAGATGCTTGTTTTTCTTTCCTTTCTTCAACTCATCTGAGGCAGTTCTCACCTCTAGAAGCTTAGCATATTCGTCTTGACTGCTTTTCCTTTCTTTCTGCTAATCTCTCCCACTTTCATATCCTTGTCTGTCGCTCTGCCTTCCCGCTGACTCCAGTCTTGAAGATCCCAAGAACTTGAAGACACATACCCCTTTTTCTAGCCTAAAACAACTGCTGTTGGCTCTGCAAAAGGGTTCATTTAACATTTTGCAGACTATCTTCGATCTATAATGATCTTGAGAAATTAGTCAAGTCCGTCGACACTCGCAGACCAGACTCAATCTATCTTCGCACACTTTCAACTATTTTTGATGAAGTGGGTGCACTTCTTCATGAAATAAAAGTCTATAATCTCATTGGTACATGTTAGATAAGGATCTCTCCAGGCAGCTGGTTTGACAGCTGATAGTTGCAAAGTGGATGAAGAAAATTATCGCAAGTGCGTTGAACAAGCCGCTGTTTTTCAGGTTAGAACTGTGATCTGCGAACGAGTCGTTTTTGCGTGCAATCTGTATTTATAGGAGTTTGCGCAAGGTTATTTTGACAGCATGCAAAGACAAGAGATTGCGCGCACGCTTCGAAATATGTGCTACACAGATCCGGATAAATTCCGAACTATTAGGGTTGAAAAGGTGCTCACCACCTCTTATCTTTTTTTTTAATTTTTTTTATTTCGAGTTTAGATGCATGGTGAATTTTTGAACGCTCTCAAGATGCTGAAAGCTAACGAAAAACGGCTGGCTCAGCTACATAAATGGCGGGTATCTTGTGTGGTAGAACAGCGGTTTCTGGAGACTATCATAGAGGTGTTTTATATTGTTTTGAAAATAAGTGGATGCAAAACTTGGTCATTCACACAGGTCGAATTTGGCCGACTCCGAGACGAAACGTTCGTAGCACAATTAAAAGCGGCTCTCTTAGTTCGACAGGGCGAACTGGTGTCTTTGATTCTCGGATCACCCAATGAAATTCTGTGGGACAAGGTGACGTTTCTTCTTTAAATTTTAGTAGATTACTTTTTTGTCTGTTGTTCCCTTTTGTTCTTTCAATGCTGAACTTTTACTTCTTATTTTTAAGTCTTGTAACTCATTACGGTGGCCCTCTCTTCGATAATATTGCTTTCGTTAATGTATCGTTATTCAATTTTTTTTCTTTATAAAATCGCGCTCAAAAATTCGACGTTGACAGCTGGTCATTTTCAAAAATGGCCTTTTATGCGAAGTAAGGAAGTATCTTGGCTTGGGTAGTGTTTCCCTGCAAAGCTAGCCCATTTGAGAGCCCGCAAAAAGCGAAGGTCCCGGGGAGATTTGAACTCCCGTCGCAGGATTCAGAGTCCTGAGTGCTAACCGCTACACCACGGGACCACGGTTGGTGTTTGCATAGGTTTGCTTGTCTCACGCTGTTTTTGTAATGGCCGTCTTACTGTTATTTTTGAAATGGTTTCTATATAATCTACCAATACATAGAGTTTCCGGAAAAGATAGCATATAATGAAAATGAAAATATATCTTAGAAACTAATGCTCGATGTTGTTTTTCCTTCTCTCAGAATAATTTCTTGAGTGAGCATTAGTTTTCTACATTTCCTCCTGCTAAACGGTGTTGAAACTACATTAGTTTTGTGAAGTGAATAGAAGATAAGCGGGAGCCTTTGATGAATTCTGGCAACATTTTTTTTCACTGAAAACTTCCTACCAAATACTACTTTGTTTAGGGAAGTGATGTTGGCTCACGTTACGAAGTGTTCCAAAAAATGACCACCCTTGCTTCTTGTCGTTTATTTTCGACCTATTCCCACACAAAATTGCAGTGAGTAATCCTATTTTTCAAGCAAAGGTTCATTTTTCTTAAATTTATCCGAGTGTTTCTTCAACATTCCCTTTCCAGCAGTTTCCAAACGATCTCAATGGTGCTTGGTTTCCTTCAGTTGTACACATTGTCTTTTTGTTTGCCTTGTTGCGGGTGCCGGTAAGTCGGAAAGTCAGCCTACCGTAATCTTTACCAGGTGTGATGAGATTATTTTTGTTTCAGCAAAGTTATGCGTGATTTTCTGCCTCCTATGGTTCTCACTGATTTCAATCAAATTCGTCCTAGCTTTTTCCATGAAAATTGTCTTGCATGAAGGGAATCAGGCAGGACATGGACCACTTTTTGTTCAGAAATTGTATTGTTTTCTAGTTATGCCGGTTATCGAATCATCACCTCACGTCAGAGTGAGAGCACTGATGCAGCTGTTTTTTTTTCTCTGTATTTTTAGTAGTCCGGTTCTTTTCGTGAACTTGTCGAAGGACCAATATGAAAACTTTATTGAATAGAATATTGGACCATTTTCTTTCTTTGAAAGCCTATAATGAACCGTTACATTTTTTGAGCATGGTCTTCATTTCACTTGCGCGTTATGTACTAGACTTACAGAATTACACGGATTTTTTAGATGTAAGCTTTTTCGTTGTTTGTTTAAGTTACTTAAGTTCTGAAAACTTTACTAGTACTTAAGTTCTTATGCTTAAAATAGTATTGTATTTGTAAATATTCGTATTTGTACGTTGTTGTTACATTTTTTGTTGATGAATAATTTTTCAACTATTTATGTGATAGATCTATTGGTGACATACCCGAAATTATCTTTTCGCAAACCATCGTGAAACATTCCTAGATATTCGGTCGTTTGTCTTCGGTGCTATATATCTACTCTTTGATGTTTTTTTTTCAAAAGAATGCAAAAGAATATTCACTCTCATTGTAACGTCTCGTACACGCAGTTTAGTGTCTTGTCACTTTTTTTCGAAGCCTTTCAAGTGTTTGAAACGGCCGGCTTTCCGCGGTTAGATAAGTACGGCTTTTGTCAATAGCCATATGAAGACTTTGATTAAACGAATTCACTGTTCGTGAAGGCGCAGTTCAGACATCCAACGTAGTTTAAATCTGGAAAACTATTCTATAGTTTCTCATACTCTTCGAGCACCCTTTTATGCTGTATCTCTTCTGAAAATTACCCATTTTGAGAAGCAATCTTTTTCCAGGTGCATCAATGTAATTTTCAAATTTACCGACGATTCATTGTTTTTGCTTTGTGTGGAAAAAATAGTCTAGAATTCGGTGGTCAAATTTGGGGCATATTTTTTAACATTATGTTTTCCAAAGGGTCCACTATACGTTTCGAAGACTTGTCAGCCTGACTGCTTGGAAGAAGTTGAGCTAACTCCGCCCTTCCTGTTTTGAGTCAGAGATCTGCAAGAGTTAGTCATGATTACGTCATCATAGTATAGTGCATTTGGATCTCGACGCTTTCGACACCATAATTGTGAAATTTAGCTCTTCAAAAGGTTCTCTTCTCTGATTTCTTTGATAAAAATAAAATGCTGACTGCTCGAGGAATTACTACGCAACGTGAAGATCTGATAGGAACTGTGCCAGCAAGCGCTATATCCTTTAAATTATTCCATTCCGCTTCGGTTTTTGCAGCATGTTATACGATGGCATACTCATTCTTCTCGTAACTGACCTTCGACTACGTAGTTTTGTCTTTGGATTGGCTTAGCGTTTCGTTCGTGCTCAAAATGCCTACAATTTGAATCGATACGTTCGCTATACGTTGCAATCCAGGCGTCAACAATGAATACGGCACAGCTGCATATTATCTCATGCCGGCTGTCACTTATTCAAAAAAAAAGCCCCCAATGGGTGAGTGCTTTGATTATGTATGGTGGGAATCATTTTGGTGTTTTTGCCGTTTTCGTTTCCTTAGTATTTTGAGTTTTTCGAGTAAGCTCTTCTAGTATTTTCTTGTATTTTTTTTTCTTTTTTAATATATTGGTTCTAACAGAATTAATGCAGGTTTCCTGAATTTTGTATTTGGATCACTATAACTTTTTACACAAGTAGTCTTTTCGTGTGCAACAAGAATTGTTGTAATCAGCAAGCCTTTTTCAACTCAGTATGCATTATTGTGTTGTTGTAGCTTCACTGAGAAAAATCTTATAGCCCGAATTCTGCCAAGAATTTTTTTGGAAGACCTTCACTTGGAGAAACATAACTTACTACCAAGTGCAGTAAGGTAGCGCAAATTTAACTCACTGCGTAGCCTATGGTCGGTTGTGCAACAGCGCTAAACTCGGAATTGAAAAAGAATTCTTTGCGAGAGGATATTCGAAGAAATTTTGAAAGTACTCATTTTTTCGACTTCTCTGAGAATTTGAAAAATCGCTTTTTTGAAACTTTTGAATTTTTTTCAAAGCTGAATAGGAAGAACTGCCTCCGATTTTCTCAGCCATAAATGTATAAAATCTATTCTTCCTATATAAAGCGGAAGCTCCGCAGTTGCTTCGCGCTGAGGATTTTTACATAGGGCAGACGGACCACAGCGGCCGTTGAATATTGCTCTGAAATTTCTCGGCTCAGATGTTTTCAGAACTCATAATTCAACATGCATTTTGTAACATAGCTCATTCAAAAATACTATGCGAATTTGCAGCGAATTGCGATTGTTTTTGGTGGTTTTAGAGCCAGATATATTGAAAGAAAGAAGTTAGAGATTTGGTTTCTTAAATTTATGGGCTCAGAACTTCTAGACAATTCACATTTACTGAAACGAAAGAATGCATAAAGAATAGAATAAAAGAGCTTCCAAATGATATGCGAAACTCTCAGGGAAAACCCTTTCCCGTTCTAAACCAGCGTTTTGAAAAAGGTGTGCGAAAAACCTGCATTAATTCTGTTACAACCTAATAAATTAACTGCTATGTGAATTCTTTCTTCACCCATTTCATCGCAGTTACTTTGTTGCTCGAACTCACACAATATTGAGTTAAGTTTGTTTTCAGTCAGAGAGCGAAATTCTTTCGTTTTTCCTCCTCACTGGAAAGCCAGTCTCGCTTTTGTTTGTTGGCTCTTGGCTCCACCTATCTACATGTGCTGACATTTTTGTTAACTCCATAACTCGTTATAGACTCTTAAACCCCTCGGAAACTTCTAGAAAACTGTTCTCTTGTGTTCGCTCAGTCACTTGATTATGCAGCACCTTGGACATGAATTTTTATTTTCGCACATGTGGTCGCTGCTACATCCGCTAGCTAGACGCTTCTCCATTGATCCAAGCTTTTCAAGTGCTTGGGTGACCGATGTTTACACGAAAAGTGTGAAATAGCTCTCATATGGTTTGCCAGTACGTTTAGTCATTCGATTACTTTTGATATCGAGCACAGAAATGCTCTTTTTTCAGCTGTCATAATGTTAATCGTTTTCCTCGATGAGTCATGCTTTAGCCATGTTATTGTTAATTTTGCACTTTTGGAGTGCTAGTTCATGTTCCATTTTCCCATTTCTCTATGCCATTGCCCATCTTATTGTGTTTTTCTAATGTTACTATATTATTGGCATGGGAACGTCGCAGTCAGCTGACCGAAAATGTTAAACGTCACTTCTACAGGGTGCGCCACAATTATTTGCGCGTGTTTCATCAAGCGCCATACGAACATAAGACCGGCTCAGCCAGCGGTCAAGCTTGATATTATTTTCTTGGTTCTACGACATTGTATCCTAGTTAAAAGAAGTTAAATTGCCTGTTTTACTTTTCGGTAAAAATTCATAATATTTCTCTGACTTTGTCGCGTGCTGCACGCGGGTAGAGGCCCACAAACTTGCCCAGTATGTATTTTTTTAATGATCGATTCTCTCAGGTGAAGATTTCGCCATAAAATAGATCTAATCTTTGACTTTAAGATAACCGAGGTTCGGAATCTTTACGAGCATTCCAAACAAAAATTTTGACTATTTAATAATTTGCGCCTGCTTGCGTTTTTCTGTTACGAACATTGCTTTTTGCAATTCTTACTTCTATAAATAAAGACCGATTTAGGATCTTGATAGTGCTTTTTGTAGAGTATGCTTACGGCATTCTGTGACATTAAATCCAGACCAAATATCTCATTGCCATTGTTGTGGCATTACTTCGAATATTTTAGCGCAAATAATCTTGGCGCACCCTGTAGACAGCTGATGCGTCTTGCAAAAGGAAGACGGTCTTAGCGAATTTCCATCTATTGATGAAAAGTATAAAAAAATTAATTTTAGCCAGCCAATCCATTTTAGCCCACCTTGTCATTTTTTTCATAGTCCAAGTTTCACAGATGACTTGGGTATATGAAAATCTCCATCTATTTTTGCAATGTATGCTAAAATTTAATTTACCTTTATCACAAGTTGCACAGCAGCAAGGCATCATGTAGAAAATTGAACCAATGATTTCTTGGAACTCTTTGACGATCTCAAGCTGATCAAATTTCAGCAGGAACTAGTTTGCCTTTTTGCTAACTCACTTCATTCATTTCCCATACCGTACTCGCCTTGTCAGTTGAAGACTTGAATGTATAGGGATGAAATGTTGCTTTCACAGCAGTCAAGAGTTCCATTGGTAGTAGCTACCAAAAGGCAAGAAGTTTTGCTCATGTTAAATGTTATTTTCATATCTGCAATCTCCTTATAGGAATAATTTGCAGCATAAATTTCGGTACATATGCTTTCCAACGAATTCAGTACGTGGATGGCGCATAAATTTGAAAGCGCAAATACTTGCATTAGAATTTTAATCGGACTCAAGTTAGCTTTCAATGTAATAGATTTCATTTTTGAACAAAAGCTCTCAATCTTTCTTCTGCGCGCGCTCAAAAGCTCGGTTTTTCAGCCTCCATTAGCACTTGATTCAGAAGCAAGGTATGAAGTTATCTAGTTTATCTTTCCGAGCTGTCAGGAGTGCAAAGTTTTTATCTTCCCACTTTGTAGGCAGTTTTGAAGATATATCTCTTGTTGTTGCTTCTATACTTCTGCTTCTGATATTACGGTTACTTATATCTTGTGCTTTTGAGTATCTCTTGGTTAATTTCGAACGTGCATCTAGAGCGCTAAGTATTTTTTCTCATTTTCTTGATAATTCATGGCTCTCGTCTTTATTCTAACTTGAGGCTATTCATTTATAAGCTGTACATCTCACAACTTGAAAAGTGCTCTCTTTCTCTCCCTATATGGCAATCACGAAGCTCCCTTTTTCTCAAGGATTTCTATATCCAGTCATCTTTGAATTGTCAACTGAATCGATTTCCCTATTGCCTAATTATTTTGTCTCTCTGCAAGAAATTTCCATTTTACTTGATCACCTTCGCTCAAAAAGTGTTAAGCGTTACAGTACCTGCATACTTAACACCCAAGTGTTGCTCGGTGTGTTTGCACAAAGTGCAAAACGATTTGCATTTCAGACCAATTTCACAGAAATCTGATTTTAGACGATTGTACTCGGCTACAGCTAGAATTAATTTTTTTGCCGGATTCGCTTCGGTATGAAGCGGGCAGTGCGTGCTTATTATCCGTTAGAATTCATTTTGTACGAAATTTTTGCGAGTAAAAAAGATGAATGTATAATGTGCTGTAAAGATAAGTCCCATGCTCGTTGGTTGAGCGTTTTGCTAGAATGTTCGAACTTTTTTTTTGACAAAAAAGTTGTTCAATGGCATACATGCATTCCTGAATTTTATTTTGATAATCTTTTGTTGTCCGTGGCAGTCTATGATTGCAAAATTTTTTGCATCATTTCCCTATGGCTCTTTTGAGCTTATCGGTTTATTTACATTCTTTCTAGTTTCATTTCCAGTGTTATCATTCTGGATATTTACCATTCGTCGGTGCGCCCTTTGACGTTGATGAAATCTGCTTTTTACCTTATGGGAAACTTTTGCGCAAATTGTACTTCAAGGTTCCGTTCTCTGTTTGAGCATGATTCACGAGCAGATTGTTGCGCTGAGCAGTATTCGAACTTTTATGGCTAGCCGAGAACCGGTTTCGCTAGCTGTTCTCGGCTTCAAAAAGTATTTTGATCGCAAACTTTTACTTCATTCGGAGACGGTTATTTCATGCAAGGCATCATCTTTATAATTTTCATCATTTTTCCGTCCAAACATTGTATCTTTGACTGAAGTCATACCTGTAACATTATGACAGAGCTGCCTTAGTCCTAACTTACTGAAGAGGAAATATCGTTTGATCTTGCCGGATTTTACTATAACCTTTTCATTTTCATTTTATAGCATACAAAGTGTTTAAAGATTGTTCTACAATAATATGAACTTGGTGGATAGATTTGAGAAGCGTATGCCCTCGAACTTGCAATAGGTAGGAGTAACTTTATCTTTTTAAAAGCCATTTAATGGTTATAGGATCTTACACCTTTATTAAAGGCAGTAGCCAGAAAAACCTGGGAACCCACAGGACCTTACCGGATGATTGGATGGTTTCAAGTAAGCCGTTGCCCAAATGGCTGCTTGTATAATATATTCCTGGCTGAGAAATTCAACTTCAAACTTCCGCCCGGTTTATTCTTCCCAGAGCGGCCAACCAACGACGGTGCTGACAGTATGAAGTCGAATCATTCTGCTACGATTGACTGATATTTACCATTTGTGGATTTATTTGAGCCTTCCCCTCCCCCCGCCCCATCAGTTTTCACTTGAATTTCGGACATCTGAACAACCTAGACACTGACCTCATGTACTTGCTAGCAACGAACTCGATAATCTCTGGGTCTCCTTCAGATTTTTAGCATCGCTGGTAAAATAATTTCTGCCCTACATCTCTATCATTACTTATAATAACGGGCTAAGGATGTTTACGTGTTTTTGTGTGGATGTG